TGGTTATTTGTGATAGCTATTGATCCAGGGAGTTTTATTGTATCAGTATGGTTAATGAACATCTGTCTGCGAAAGCTCAAAATATGATCATATCCCTCCAAGTTGATTCCTGCTTTCAGATGGTTTATTTCAGAAACTGGGGTAATATCTATGTTTTTTAATGCGTTGAGAATTGTTTGGTTTGGTATTGACGGGCATACGTTAGATATGATTATTTTTTTTGCTGGATTTATGAGTCTACGCATTGGTATTGTGTGATCATTTACTGTGATAGTGTTGGATTTTTCAAGTAGTGTATCGAGTATCACCTTGCTCGAGAGGAAAACGCAGAATCGATTGTTTGATATCCTTGAAATATATATTATGTGTTTTGGAGATATTATTTTGCCAATTGCTAGTATGTAGTCTACTTGGCGTATGCCGTCAATAGAATTAAATACAAGTGCTTGATCTCTGGATGGATTTTTTTCGTTTGCTGTGATGGTGGCGAAACTGCGAAAAGTGAATTTGTTTGGGGTGTTGATTGTTTTTGAGTCATGCTGTAAATATTTCTGAGGTGTATTTATATTATATATTTTATCTATGTCTGCGTGATGGGTAGCAGCGTTTTCGTTATCGTTTCCATTGGAGACGACGGGTTCGGGTTGCTTATCTACTTCTGGGACGGCAGCGGTAAAAGTAGTTACATAAAATGTATTTTTGGAAGAGGTGATGATAGGAGGTGTGTGTTCTGGTTTGCTTTGCAGGTTTTTATTTGACGTAGGAATTTTATTTGGAATTTTTATTTTGGGTGTCGAATTTGTGGATTGGGCTGAGTTGTTTTTTTTTAAATTGGTTGCCAGTGGGCGGATTGCCCATCTTGGCTTTGTCGTTAATTTAATTAGATTAATTAGCATTTGGCCTTAGTAATGATTCATATTACCTTTTAATCAGCCATTGGTGAAGATGTGTAATTAGTGCAGTGCTATCGGAAGCTATAAAAACGCACGATAAAGGAGAGAAACAAACGTGTTAGACTGTCAGCGGTCGAACACGTACTGTTAAATGGGAATTGTGTTATAATAACAGGTTAAAAGGTTTTTTTTCTTTATACTTCAAAAAAACTAACTGAACCAATACACTGTAGTGCATATCGCACAGAACAAAAAAAAAATAATAGTATATATGAAGAAATTGTTCATCATCAATAAAAAAATTAACCTTTTATTCTAAACTTGAATTGTCAAAATATGAAAGGTTAAAAGGTTTCTTTTTCGTATACTTCAAAAAAACTAACAGAACCAATACACTGTAGTGCATATCGCACAGAACAAAATTTAAATATGATTGTTTATGAACACATTGTTCATCATCAAAAAAAAATCTAAACTAGCCCCACAGCGTTTCTGACCCAAAATATAACATTTTAAAATGTATGCATATGCTTTCAAAGAGAATATACCTCATACCATTGTATAGTTTATTGCCAAAATGCGCATAAAAAAAAAAAAAAATATAAAGATCGTAAACACATTGTGCATCATCAAATAAAAAATTAACCTTTTGACTTTTTGACCTTTTAACCAAACAAAAAATTCAATAGATTTACAATGATCATATTTGCGCATCATCTAGAATAATACCTAAATTAGCCGTACAGCATTTATGACGAATAATATATCAGTTTAAAAGGTTCCTTTTGCTCGTAATTCTAATGAGCTAATTAAACAAAAAAAAAACTGTAGTGCATATCGCGCATAACTAAACTTAAATAAACTACTAGTCAAGTACATTTTTTATTAAAACATATTGTGTCTTATAGTTTGATGTCATCCTTTTTTTTCAATAAGAAATTCATCTATTACTTTTTGCAGTTTATATCCGATAAAATATGTCGGTTTTTATTTCCCTGCGATACTGCATGCTTTTAATATTCGAGTTTTAACTAAATTTTTGCCTCTAAAAACTCCTTTGCGAGTACTCCGTTTAAAAGGAGATATTACGTCTAATCGTTTGACGTCATCTAATTTTTTCAAATTGTCATTGGTCTATTACTTTTTTGACGTTATATCCGATAAAATCGGTCGCTTTTCGTTGCTGTGCCGTACCAATATAGGTTTTTTTTTTTTCTTAGCTTTTTTGCATTGTGGGAATCATAAACCTTTTTTAAACATTTTTTTTCGTCATAAATACTCTGCGCCTAGGGTACATTTTATAGTTTGATGATGCGCATGGTTTTCATGGTCTATCTCTTTTATTTTTTGTTTTGCACGATATGCACTATTTTTGTTTCTTTTGTTGGCTTATTCTAATCGAGGTTATAAGAAACCTTTTTTACAGTTCTATTTTTCTTCAACAAACACACAAACAAATGAATTCTGGAATAAATTAATTTCTTCTGAGATTATAAGTTTATTATAAGCCTAGAATACTCAGAACGAATATGTAAGAATTTGGATTTTAAACTTATAAAAATAAATAACAATTTTTCTAAACTCAGTTTGTTATTTACACAGATATGGCACATACATAAGTGCTTGTCTCACACTCGGTTAAGACTGGTTAATTAATGTCCTTCGCGTTCCCTTTATATACCTCAAGAACCTTTAATTTAGGCAGTTACTATTCTAAGTACATATCTGTGCTACTTTTCCTTATTACGCTACATAATATTAATCAATTACATGCAACACAAAATGATAATATAACAAAATACAATTGAGGTCTTCCGAATAAAATATCAATTGAATACTAATGACTACGTTTTATTACATCTATTATATTAGACGGAATGATCTTAACATTAGACCGGATGGGCCTAACAAGTGTACTAATATATGTACTAATTATTTATTAAATGGATCAGTCACATCTGTTATGAACCCCTGGATAATTTAGTCTAGATTATTTTATGTTGTAAAATTATTAGTATATTGTGTTTGTTTATGAATACGATTTGTACAACAGGACGTGGTCGGGACGACGTGGGTTATGCTGAGACAGCATATCGGACTGCGTCG